ACAATGATCATTGACAGACATGTTCACTCTCTGCTTTGTTTGCTGCAATTACTTGGACACCACTGAGCGTTCCGGCGCTTTACACACGTCACGACCAAGTAGCAGCTATTGGTTAAATAAAAAAAGCACTGCCTACCGTTGAGCAAACAAATTCTAATGCTGCAAGGTCAGACGGTTTCCACGAAGTGAAACCAGCAGATGAATCAGGCTAACAATATTCCCCAGTATGATATAAAACTCATACGAATAATGTTCTGAAGTATGGTTTTATTGTTCTATAGTGACAGAAATCACCCATTCACCCATTAGGGGCCTGAACAATTATGCAAATATGAGAACTCACACTTACTGTAGCTGTAACTGTAAACAAATGTATTCATTTATGTGTAAAGCTATGAACCTGAACAGTCAGATCATGAAAGCTCTAGTCCAGTTTGTTCTGTGAGGAGCACTGTCAGATTCACTTCTAAATTGTGGAGACTTTGGCGGTCATGTCTGTATACATTATAACCTGCAATGTTTAATATTATTTTTTACTAATTAATAACTATGAATCAGATATTTAGGTTCTTGATAAAGACTGAATTGGACTGAAATAGGTGTGTTAGTTTCAGTGTAGTTAGCTCCTCCCTTCAGACAGATATAAGGCAGTGTCCACCAGCGTCTGACCAGAACTGAAGCAGAAGAAGAAGAAGAAGCTCTAAAACTTTTGTCCAGTTGACAGAATATAACTTTTCTTTTGTTGTGGATCCTACCTGGACAACTGAGGGATTACACAGGTATCTTTCTATTTCTGTGGAATCATTCAGGTGATTTTCCAACTTCACAAACAGGTGAAATTGCAAACATTAATTTCGTCAAATCCAGTTTTTCTATCATTCACACAAGTAAAAATTGATTTGAAGTCACCCTGTCAATAAAATACATGGTAAGTTCAATTCCTTTATTGTCAGTGTCTTATAAAATAACACCGAAATTATGTTAGAGCATCACAACAAACTGAGTAGTAGACTAAAAGTGCATAATAGTGTACAACACCCACCACATGAACATAGACAAGTTAAAAATATACTCTGTACTTACTTTGTGTCCAGGTGTCGTCATCTCTTTGCTATCACGAGATCTGGAGAAGGTCCCCATGGCTCTCCTCGGCTCTCACTTTTGAAGGTTCCTATAAAAAAATAAAATAAAATACCCCAGTCAATCTTAAAGCCCCACTGTGTAACTTTTTGTTTGGGGGTTCGTCACAGTCTTGTTTCTATGGATATGTCATTGCTCTGCTTGGAATTTTCCGCAGTACAACATTAAACAGCTCTGACTTTAGCTCAAAAATGCCTAGAAAAACAGGAATTCTGACTGTGAGCGGGGTCGCCTCTCCACAGATCTGATCTATGACTTGGTCCGGTTTGGTCTCCGTGAAGACAGAAAAGACAAAGCAATAACATCTCCATGGAGAAAAGCATTTGACCGACCTTCCACCGGAAAAGTTACACACATTTAAAGCCCCACTGTGTAATTTTTTGCCAATAAATAAATAAATTGGATGTTTTTATTGCACTAAAAAACAAGGGTTCTTACTCCGAGCCGGCTTGCATCTCCACAAACCTTGTCCATCTGCTTATCTCCATGGAAATGTTGTTCCTCATTTGTTTAAGACTTCGACTTTGATGAACTTTATTGACCCACAAGGGAAATTATTTGGACACAGTAGCTCACACATAACCGTAAATTATAATAACAAAAAGAAAAATATAAATCTTCAAGAATTCTCCAAGAAGATTGTTCTGAAATATGGTTTTAACTTGTGGTATTCTAAATGTATATCTACATCTTGTTACTTATTATCCATCCATCCATTTTCTTCCGCTTTTCCGGGGTCGGGTCGCGGGGGCAGCAGCCTAAGCAGGGACTCCCAGACTTCCTTCATCCCAGACACGTCCTCCAGCTCCTCCGGGGGGACCCCGAGGCGTTCCCAGGCCAGCCGAGAGGCATAGTCCCTCCAGCGTGTCCTGGGTCTTCCCCGGGGCCTCCTCCCGGTGGGACATGCCCGGAACACCTCCCGAGGGAGGCGCCCAGGAGGCATCTGGAACAGATGCCCGAGCCACTTCAACTGGCTCCTCTCGACGTGGAGGAGCAGCGGCTCTACTCCGAGCTCCTCCCGTGTGACTGAGCTTCTCACCCTATCTCTAAGAGAGCGCCCAGCCACCCTGCGGAGGAAACCCATTTCAAGCGCTTGTATCTGCGATCTCGTCCTTTTGGTCATTACCCAGAGCTCATGAAAATAGGTGTGAGTAGGAACGAAGACTGACCGGTAAATGGAGAGCTTCGCCTTTCGACTCAGCTCCCTCTTCACCACAACGGTCCGATACAGCGACCGCATCACCGCAGATGCTGCACCGATCCACCTGTGAATCTCACGTTCCGTCCTTCCCTCACTCGTGAACAAGACCCCGAGATACTTGAACTCCTCCACTTGAGGCAAAGACTCCCCACCCACCCGGAGAGGGCAAGCCACCTTTTTCCGGTCGAGAACCATGGCCTCAGGACTTAGAAGAGCTGATCTTCATCCCAGCCGCTTCACACTCGGCTGCAAACCGCCCCAGTGCACATTGCAGGTCCTGGTTCGACGGAGCCAACAAGACAACATCATCTGCAAACAACAGAGATGAGATCCTTTGGTCCCCCCTGACTGTGCCTAGAAATTCTGCAGCCCTGGCGGAGTCCAACTTGCACCGGGAACAGGTCTGACTTACTGCCGGCAATGCGAACACAGCTCCTGCTCCGGTCATACAGGGACCAGACAGCCCTTAGCAAAGGGCCCCGGACCCCATACTCCCAGAGCACCCCCCACAGGACACCACGAGGGACACGGCCCAATGCCTTACTTATTAGACATTGGCTATTTTGTGATAGGTAATAGATAAAATATATAGATAACAGCTTTTAAAAAACATCTTTACTTGTTTGTTGAGTGCAGATTAGAAGTCTGAGCAGCAGGCCTGAGGTGCTGCTCTCTGCTGGTTCTTAGTGGTACTGCAACGAGTTTGACTGAGGATTTCCACAGCATACTGTACTCTAGAACATTGTTTTCCAAAGACTGGGCCGCGAGAGGTTTTTTTGGGGGGGTGGCCTTGTCACGATCTGCATGTTTATCTGCAATATACAGTTCTGACACATGAGAGCGCGAGTGAATCTCCTGTCCTCAGTAGGGCCAGTGTTTCTATGCTTATTCCTTTTGCTACTACATATATGTGTGAATTGGGATTTTCTCTGCTCACAAAAATGAAAACAAAGCACAAAAACAGACTGAATGGTGCACCTGATCTGCCACTGCGCTCTCCTCCTGCACCCCGGACTGGAACACTCCACAAAAACACAAACAGGTGCACCTGTCTCATTAGAAATGTTGAAACATTAAGACATGTTTTGTATGATTTCTAATCTTTTTATAATTATTTTATTGGCTATTTTGTTCCAGTATTACTGGTTCAATTGAATGTTGAAAAGAAAAAAGAAATGGGCTACATTTAATGTCCAGATAGTCGATTTATGGATCCTTTTATTGCTGGTTCAGTGACTGTTTTTCATTATTTAAAACTTGATCACTCAGTCAACAATAAAATCTCCTCATTTATGTTCAATAATGGTCAAATCCACCTTTATATTCTGATTTACGAATCATGTCTATTGACTTGGGTGACTTTTAAAATATGGGTCCCCAGAAAAAGTTTGGGAAACACTGATCTTCAATACATTTTATATCACAATAGAGACGCTTTGACCTCATGGTGAATTAAATAGTTTCTAATCTAGCACACCTACAATTATTTAAGATATCTTTAATTACCCTACAACAAAAACATTCACACATTGACAAAAGAGAAAAAATCACACAAAGTCCTGACTAAGGCTATAGCTCAATATCTGAAGATGATGCAAAGAGAGAAAATATAGAAAATATAAAATTAAAACTGTATTGATAACAACCATTAATCCCCTTAGGAAACATTTAGCCTCACTATATTAATTTCGTACTGTACTCTATACTCTTTTTATACTTTTTTATATAAAGTCTTTTTCAGTCAGGTATGTTTATTAGACTTAGACAAACTTTACTGATCCATAAGGGAAATTACTTGGACACTTCCTACATACATCACAATATAATATAATAACAAAGTGAAAAAAATATAAATGGTCATAGTAAATTGTAAATAAGTAGCAAAAAAGATGGAGTAAAATAAGGCATAATTATATAAGTGCATATGTTAGTGCTGTATTATTGGTAAGATAAGATAGTTGTAATTGTTTGTAAATAAAAGTTTTTAATTATTTCGTTTAATTGGTGTCCCTGAGTGCCCAGAAAGACGCTTCTAAATAAAATGCATTAATAGATGTAGAAACAATACTTTGACACGAGCCATTCTTGAAAAATACTGTTACACTGACCTCTGCTGGACGACAGTAGACATAACTCTCTTCTCTCAGATCACGATGTGTGTGGACGCACAAATGGTAAATACATTTCTTGATTCTTGAGATGTGGAGAAAAGACATGTTAATAAATGAAGTAATGTGAAAACTTTCTTTTTGGCTTTACATTTAACAAAACATTAACATGCTTAATATTTATTATTTATCAAATGAAAATGACATTGCCTGTGATCCAGAACACACACTTCTTTAATACTTTACAAAAACGTGAGTTGGGTTAATGGTGAAATCTTCCAGTTTTCAGATGGGCGTGATTGACAGGTGGATTAGCCAATCAGGGACAAGAATGGTTTGTCCATGAAAAGAAAGGGAACAAATATCACAGGTGATTTTATTTGTAAATGAAAGGTGTCCAATGAGTTCCTTCATTTCACAGGTTCATTTTCACAGATATCATTCTGGATTTGACAGGCAAATATTATAAACTCACTCAAATAAATCAATCATGTTACAGTTATTAGGTCTTTGATATTTGAGTCTATGTCATATATAAATTTATACAAGAGTTGAAAAGTAATGTACCATTTTATTATTAACGGACACAAAGATTGATTTATCATGCTTTGAATTTTTATTACCATGGCAACCGTGCTAAATGTTCATTATTTGGTCATGGATGAGATTAACAATTAATAATAAATATCAATACACTCAATTTAGTCAAGTATTGTTGTATTTAATAATTTATAAATCAAACAAACAAACAGTTATATATTTCATGTCAGGTGAAAAGTTGTTGGATAAAAGACGATGTATGATTTATGTTAGTTACAGAAGAACAGTTTTTTTAGGTTTACATTCATAAAGATGTGCAACAAGATTGGTGAGTTTATATATTATAAAAACTTCTTATGAATATAGACAAGTAAATAGTGATTATATAAAAAAAAAAAGTTGGAATAGAAAAAAGAAATGGATAACATTTTGACAACAGTGTCGTATCAGACTGCATAGTTAGGCCTACTTTAATCTAGTTTAATATTGTCAATGTCAATTGCAAGAGGCCCTTGCATTGAAAACCCAATAAAGAACGATACAGTGGAGCCCTCTCTGTAACCTCGAAGTTGACTTTGAAATTGTGGTGTGACTTCAATATTTACGTCAGGAATGACAGTACGGACCAGAATGGTTCTGGATCTCACTTTCCCAGTTACTCTGCAAAGAAGCTCTTGTACTTTGGGGTTTTTCCATATCACTCCATTTTCCCATTTGGAGGCAAACTGGTCCTTCTCAGCCTTGCTACATCTTTTGACTTCCCCCAGATGCACTATACGTTCATAACCAGCCTTTTTTCCCAGGAAGAAGTGGACAATGGGTCTCTTGCCATTGTATATGTGTTTCATCTCAGTGTGAAAGGCGGTCTTCATGTGAGAGATGTAACTCCGCAGATCAGCACTCTCTGGCCAGTTTAAGTGTCGCTGTTGCTGTGGCCATAACAGAAGGACTGCAATGAAGTAGAGAGGCAAATTAGCCTTTGGTAATGGATCCTTAAGACATTTGCACAGAATATTAACCAGTCTTGGAAATGGCTCCTCAATCAATTTCAGATTGATACAACTGAGCACAACATTCATGTAGATGTAGTTCATTTTTTCAACAGGACTGCAGTTGTCAGAGTTGTAAATAAATTTGTACGCACTGACAATGTCACCCAAGATTTCTTGTTTATTGTCATTTGAAAGACAATTCAAAATTCCAGAGTATGTATCAAGTTCTTCCTTCTCAATGAATTGCCTGGCCTTATGTAGCTTCAGTATGGTGTTCATGCTTTTATTGAGCAAAGGTTCTGATTCTGTCAAACAGAAAAGTTGTGCAAATTTACCAAAGCATCGGGAAAGTTCACTTTTGGCTATTTGGTCACAGCTTTCTCTCATCCCAAATTTAGATGCCAGGTTTACATTAAATTTGACAAGAAAGTCAAAATTTGATTTCATCATGTTTTTGAGACTGTACAGCATTTCAGCAAATTCTTCAAGAACCTTGTAGAATTGTACATGGTTCTTATATTCAGGATCATGGTCTTTCATTTGGTCAAGTTTTGTTCTTCCAGAAAGCATGGAACACAAAAGGTCATGGCGAACCTTCCCACTTGAGAATAAAGGGATTTTTTCAAGCACTTCAATAATGTGTACACACACTTGTATCTCCCCAAGGAATCCAGAGGTATTTAAAGGGCTGTAGTCTCTTTTGGATTGTAACCTTTGGAATGACTCGTGCTTTGCAAGCTGTTGGGTTTCTTTGAATGCACCCATTGCAGATTTGGCCAGTTTCAAAAGTTTTTGTAGAGCTTCAGGGTCAATGGCGAAGTTTTCATTTGCAATGGAATATTTCAGCTCATGTTTTATAACCTGTGCTGAGGTGTCAGAGATGTACGAGCTGTTCTTTTGGGAAAAATGTTTGGATCTTCTTGCCCAGCTTTTTGCTTCATTAAAATCTTTCTTTTTAAGGTAGTAGTACCGGGCTAGTAACTGAGCAATAATGGCATCCTTTTGAAACCTAGAGGAAGCATTTATAAGAACATCCTCTTCCAGCCCTGGAGTTTCACTTTCAATATCTCGAATGAGGGGAGAAAACCGAGACTCCACTTTTTCCTCCTTCATTTTATCCTCCTGCTCAGTACAGCTGGTGGGTTTGTGACGTGAGGCACTGGCAAGAACAGAAGGTTGAGAAGGAGCTTCTTGCCCAAAAGGATATCTTTTGACTAAAATGTTGTGAATATCCTGCATGAGTTTGTTTTTACCCTGTGTGCAGTCATAAAGTTCATCAGTTGTCAGAATGAAGTTTGCAATCTCTGCTTTGCTGACTTTATGTGTTAAGTTCATTTCCTTCAGGCAGTGCAGTGCAATTTGTGAATGGATCATTCTAACTCCTTTAAACAGAACCTTAGATCTTATGTCACAGGACAAGATTAAAGTTGAAAACTGTTTAAAACCTTCTTCAACTTCACTGTCTCCAAAATATGGCTTTGGCAACATAAGATATTCCTCGCACAAAGAGACAGACAGAGCTGCATGTTTGCAGTAGACGCTGCTTAGTGCTAACACTGCTAGAAGCTGAGCATGTTTTTGCTCCATGTTGAAACTCTGAAGGGTGTGATGAACAACACTTCGAATGTACTCAGTGTTGAAGTTGCTTTTCATGACCATGAATCCATAAAAGGTTTTAGTATCATCATGTGTTTTTTCCATTTCTGCTAATTTCTGGTCAAATTGTTTCTGGTCATCATCTGTGAGTTTATTCCCAATGAATACAGTGTCTTCAGTTGGATCAGTTGGTCCAAAAATGTGTTCACACCTCATGCAGTTGAGGAGGATCACCTGTGGAGACCTGGACTGGACACTGCTGCTCAAACACTGTTTTTCAATCAGCTGTTGTAAGTTGAAGACCTTTTCCATGTCTTCAAAATCATCAATCATCAACAACACAGGCACTGGGAGTTCTTGCTCTTTACAGCCGTACTGCAGGAGGGTGAACACATGTTCTGCCACTGTAACTGGGTCGGCGTCGTTGTCAATAAGAACAGCACAACGGAATTTTCCTCTGAAAGTCCACAGAGTGTGTTTGGCCAAAGTGGTGCCACCACATCCAGGTACATGTAGAAGGTTCAAGAGGACACAAGCTTTTCTCAGAGAACACAAGTCTGGGATGAGTGTGTCAGTTATGTAAACAAACTTATCCCTTTTAATAAACGGCATGGAGCCAGGCTGCTCAGAGAAATAGAAGTTCCACCAGGACACTTCTCCCCCTCTGTAGAAGTTCTGCTCGATGGAGACTTGGTCCTCATTTCCTCCTTCACACTGATTCACACACAGAACATCCAGCGTAGTGAGCTGGCGCTCCACTTTCTTCTCCAGACACACTCTGCTCCCTCCAGCTCCCGGGAGGAATCGGCTGCTCCTGCGGTTCTCTGACAGAAGGCTCAAGATGGTGCCATTGACCTCTGCAAAGCTGAGCTCATAAATGCATCTATTTGAGATGTCCACTTCACAGCGAGCGTCTATCAAGTTTTTCCAGGAGGTAAATGCATTCTCATTTTCACAAATACAAAGAATCTGCTCTGTGCCTTTCAGCTCCTGATAAAATGTACAAAAGGTCTCCACCAGTGGATCCATTTTGTCATTTACTCTTGACAGAAGTACAAATACAACAAGAAACCTTTTGTTTCGAAGAACATCTTTTCGACATAAAAAAGAAATCACATTTCGAACTGACGCTCCTTTGTCCATCAGCCACAGATTTATCTCAGACGGCTGCTCTTCACCAGTTTTTCCATTGCAGAACACCCAGCTGGTACTTCGAGTCAGCTGCAGTTTTTTAGCAATGTCCTCAACAGATTCTGTGATTTTATACCTGTCTGGTGAATGAAGATTAACAGGACTTTTCTTTTCAAAGCCCTCACATAGCCCATTTTGACAGGACTGGGGATCAAAGTCCAGCACTGCTACAGGATTGAGTTCAACAAGGAAACCAATGGAGTCCAGCTGAATGGGGTGAGATTTATTGGTGACTATAATGTAGTGCTCATAGAAAGACTTGTCCAAGGAGCCAGTTCCCCCAGTGATCATCTGACATAGCTTAGAACCGTGGACGTGATTTTTCACCTTGTTCAGGTGTTTCTCCTCTGCCTGCCTTCGGAGTTCAAGTAATTGTGGTACACTGGCAACAAAGTTGTTGAATTCATGCATTGGTTTGGCATTTGTAGTTGGAGCCAGGAGGTTTCTACTGCTGCCCCCCTCTCGAACAAAAAACTGCTTCTGTTCACCTTCAGATGCTTTTGCATTATTTTTCTTCTTTTTGATGCTGCAGTTGACTGTGTGATAGATATTCTTTTCACATAATGATGAATCAGGTACTATATCTACCTCAATCACAAACTTTTCAGATGAAGTCAAGTTTGTGTTGAGGACACTGACAAATCGAGGGGGTTTAATGCATGTTTGGGCTGTCTTTACATGTTTTAACTCAAAACACTGACTGATAGCATGTCTTAAAGTTTTGTCATATACCTCTCGATCTTTTTCAACAACCACACCCAAGACTTGACCGTGAGTAAATTCTGGCACATCCCCTATTCCAAAATGAATGGTGCCGTTGGTGCGGCTGTTCATGCAAGCAGCTGCAAAGCGTATGACCTCAGAAGTAAACTTGATCATTTTAGTTTCTTCAGTAGTGTTGGTAAAAGCTTTGTATTCATGACATGGTTCATAAAAGTCTGATGCCCCAGATTCTGTTACATCCAGAATGCTGCCTTCCATGTATCTATAAGTGTCATGACACCTATAAAAGGGATATGGTTTGCATGGTCTTCCAGGACATATTTCTGGTTGCTCTTTTTTTAACTTGACAGTTTCATCTCTGGAATGAAGTAGAACTTTTGCAGGGCCAAGTTTCACACTTATGTTTGTCAGATCTTCTGCCTTTAAAAGCATAAGACTAGGTCCTGTAATGTCCTGCTCAAACAGTGTGTTTGCAGCGGTGTCATCTACACCTTCCAGTCTGAGAGCCCATTCTCTCACTTGATCTTTGCTCCAGTGCTCCATGTCAGTTGATAGATCCAGGTCATTCTTCTATAAAATAAAACAAATACAAAGTAATTGTGAGGAAATGTGTGTTTGCATCATATTTATTTACTTCATACATTTTAAAATACAAAAACAGCACAAAGGAATCAAAAGCATGCACTGACTGAAGATGGGATCAAGCTGTTGATCATAAGGGTAGTGGTGGGTACACAATTTAACTACTGCTGCCCCTGGAGTTCTCTGTTGATGTATTTAGTACATATTTTAGGTGGAAGAGACAGCAGAATTAACTCCAACTATCATTAATGTAACACAACCTGAATAAACCGCTCTGTCACCACCCACATCACACCACACAATTACTGGACATATATTTAGCTCATAATTATTAGGCCCGAGCGCCAGAGGCTGGCGAAGGGCCTATTAGTATCGCAAAGCGATGCTCCAAGTGGCCAAAAAATGGAATGGCGCGACGTGACTCGCCCGTAGTGACCAGGGACCCTCGCCATCACGTAGCAATGCGCCAGAGGTTTCCGAAAATGTATAGTTTATCGGCCAAAAAAAAGCGGAACATTGTTCTCATATCGGTTGGTTATTCTCCTAACCAACTCACCCATTTTTCATCCACTGAACAATGACGAAAAGTCCTGAAATTTTGCCATCTGGTAAAACTCGCGCTTCTCTAACTTTTGGCTATTTTCATTTTCCAAAAATAAATAAAATGGCTCGTCAGCGCCCCCAAACGACTCAAAAATGCATTAGGGAATACGAATGACACACAAAAAAATTTGCATGTACAATCATAAAATTTTACACAGAAGTCGATCATGTCAAGACAAGGAAAAAATATTATTACGCCAACACCGTGTGCTCCACTAGGGGGCAGTAATATTAGCTTAAATTTGGCTAAGCTTTTACGAACTCCTCCGAACGAACTCAAATTTGGTCCATATTATCTCAAGACGTGGAACATCAAAAGTTATCCAAATTTTTCACACACGTCTTACGATCTCTGAGCAGTGAAGCAACAAAAAATGCTCACAATTTTGGAGATTTACAAATTGCTCCCATTTGCTCAAACGAACTCCGATTTCAATGAAATTTGAAACAGTTGTTAAACTCTCTGCCCTGAAGCTACTTAATGTGAAAATTATTCATTTGGTGCATTAGCGCCCCCTATAGATTGAAACAAAATTTAATATGAGAGAAAACCTTTTGTTCCCAAATAGTTGTTCAAAAATTTCAGAAACTTTGCACAAAATTCCATTTTGGCATCCTGATCCAAAAGTCAATGACACCCATGTCATATTTTTTATGTCGTTGCCATAGCGATGGCATAAACTCTCCATTGGTAAAATCTACAAATTCTGGCACAAAACTTTGGCCGATTTCATTCAAATTTTAATTGTGGGTTCACACCCCGACCCTGAACAGATTTATATAAGAAAATCTCAGGTGGCGCAATAGCGCCCCCTAGGGAAATTGCACGGTAGTGCCTCTCCACTTGTGCCTCTCTCCCCCTCTGCCTCTCTCCTCCTCTGCTTTTCTTCCCTCTGCCTCTCACCCCTTGTGCCTCTCTCTCCCTCTGCCTCTCCCCTTGTGCCTCGCTTCTTCTGCTTAACCGCATTTTGCGAGAGTTCACTGAGTGCACAGACAGGAAGAGCACTTCTTTGGTTTCTTTGTCACTTTAAACTATGTTATTATGGGTGAAAAGGGCCTAAATGTTTCTTTTTCAAACAACATTAAGTGTTAAAGTGTTAAAACCTCCAAGGTTCCATGTTCCGCGCTGTTCACGGGTGAATTAAACGCGCGCATATTTCATAATATTATTTCGCGATCTTTTTGGACCAACTTTAGCACGGATTATTAGGGTCAACATTAGTCCCATCACTAGGAAATAAAAACTGGGACAGAGTTTAAAGTGTAAAGTGTAACGACATACCTGCATCTCAGCCATGACAGAAGGTGGTCTGAAGGTCACTTAAGGAACTTCTGCAAGAAATAACAGACGAATGAATAGTAACACATTTAAAAATATAAATCATTTTGGGTTAAAAGGATGCTTACATGAAAAGGACACGTGAAAAAGTATTCATCCATGGCCACAGCTGCTGCTGATGTAATCGATTCTAGGTTATATGTCAGGACGTCTCCGGTATCTGGGATGCAAATTAATAAGTGCATTTAGATAATAAACAGTAACGACATTAATAAACAGACTATCCAAACTTTTCACCCAACTGTTTTTCCGAGTCCATGGACACGTCGGGAGGGCGCGTGGAGCTCCGAGGAAAAAAAGCGGAATCGACTTTTCCCTCGAGCATGGCTTCACATTACGCTGATTTGAAGATGACAAAAGGTTGCGTTTTACCTTCGGAGGCACAATTGAGGGTTTTATCGCGCCGTAGTGCCCACCAAAGCCTCCGCGGTCATGTTTGCTGGTGTAGTCGGATCCAAGAGGAAGCCAACTTCAAAAAGTGCTGATCATACGTTGCTCACCGGCGTCACGTGACGGGACGAGCTCCTACGTCCTCTCTCCTTCTCCGTTTCGTCATCTGATCTAATTCTGAACTTACAAAAAGCTGCTGAAAGTTACCATTTTGCCTTCAAATCGTAAAATAATACCCCTTTAGCGGAGAGTTTGCACGATTCTGCGAGCGTAGAGTTGAATCAGTGTCCCTCCAGCGTGGGCAATGTATGATCCAGACTCCTCCTTTTCCACTTCTGACATATGTTGCACAATGCATTGTCTTACATGGGTAGAGTATTTTGCAGAGATTTGCAGAATAACTGAAGGATGAATATCATGAAATGTAGTGATTTTGAAAAAGAATTTTGGTTTGCATAAAGTTGGGATGTTAACTCCAAATAAATTTACCACAAAAATTACTTTAAAAATAAAAATACTTCTAAAATATTGTAGATTAGAAAGTACAGATTCACAGTCTTAAATGTAGTGAAGTAAAAGTAAAAAGTATCCACTGTAAAAGTAAAGTACAGTCAGATACCTGCATTTTGTAGTACTTTTGTACTTTGTTACCTTAATCCACTGCAATGCACACATTATCAAACACAGATTAAAAAAAAGATTAAGATTGTCTGAAAATTTAAGAAAAAAAACAAAACATTGTGTGCATAATTATTAGGCAAGCTGTATTTATGAGAACTTTGTAATTGAATAACTACGGTGCTCTGAGTCTGGAGAAAATCATGCGCAATTATTGGGTAACTACTGATGTGCAGATTTATTACACAACTACGTGAAAAATGTACATTTCCCTCTTCTTTAGTTTCAGTTTCATTTCTGTTGATCAACTTTTTGTGCAGCAGTAATCACAGCCTCACAGACACTGCTCAGAGAGGTGTACAGTTTTTCTTCACTGTAAATCTCCCATTTAAGAAGGGCCCACTTGTTCTCAATAGGCGAGTTTCATTGTTGACAAAAGTGCGCGTTGCATGCTGGGAATTATTTTGGTCGGCGGCAATAAACACTAATTCAACATGATGGACGGAGCGAGAAAGCATGTAAAGGGTATTGATCCCGGTTATTTATTCACTCTAACGGCAGAGGACCCGAGAGAGACAGAGACGATTTGACCAGAAATTGGTCATAAGCATCGATGGAGCCAAATCACCCTTTTCAACCTCTACAAAAGGTGGACCAAACCAAAGTTCTGGTCTGAATCGCCAACTACCTGGCTAAATATTCACTTTGGCGATATCCACAATGACTTGGTGGAAACTCTTGGGCCATTCACAGCAGAAAAGATGAAAACCTCCAAGAGTCTCAATGTGTTGTTGAACTTGTTGGAGTCCACGGTTTGTTAGGATCTTCTACGTTTGCTTTGCGGATGTTTGAAAGCCATTTAATTCACCGTTAGCGGTTCTTTTCACTCAGAATACGAAAAAGACATTTTCCTTCTTCCGTGCTTTTATTTGTGCATCCGATAATGCAGCAGTAATTTACCATTATCGGGGATAAATACGTGAGGTTACGTACTGTGTTTGACCGCTATTGTGTTTCTTGCCTCCGACCAAAATATTTCCCAGCATGCAACGCGGGCTTTTAATAATGCAGGATATTGTTGACTTAAGTATCCTCAAAGTCATGTATAAAGCAAAGTGTAATTTATTACCTGTAAATATTCAAAAACTGTTTGAGATGAGAACAAAGCCACTACAATTTAAAATGAACCTACATGTTTAAAAAACCCAGATTCAGAACCAAGGTTATGGAGCGAAGTGTCGCTGTGAAAGGAGTTCACTTATGGAAGAGTCTTGACAAAGAAATAAAAGAATCAAGTACAATGATGACATTTAAAAAACATATAAAATCGAATGCACTGTGTCTGTATGAAAAAGAAAATTAAGTTGTGTATAATAATGAAGATTTACTGTTTGCAATTGATCAGTAATTGTGCCTGAACTGATAAGGAATGTTTAGTGACGATCAGTGTTGATGTTTTGTCTTGAAAAAGGAAAGGGGGGCAGATAACATAAGATTTTTTCTTCTTTCTGCTCCTTTTCATTCATTTCTTGTGTGTTTGATGTTGTGACACTGTAGATGTCTTTTTATGCTTTATGAATGAAATAAATAAATAAAAATATAAATAAAAATAAAAAAAATAACAATGACGTCAGCTGAAACTCGCCTATAAGGTTTAGGTCAGGTGAGGAAGGCCTTAAAGATGAAAAAAATAATGGCATGGCCATGTCATTTTCTTTCATCTTTAAGGCCTTAATTGCCTAACCACGCAGGGGAGCACTGCGATGCATGTGATGGAGCATTTTCCTGCGTAAAAATCATGGTCCTCTTGAATGATGCAGACTTTTTCTTGTACCACTGCTTGAAGAAAGTGTTTTCTAAAAACTGGCAGTAGGTTTTGGAGTTCATTTTGAGTCCATCTTTAATAGCAATACTCCCACCTCCAGTGGCTTTTTTTTTTTTTTGGTCTAGTCATTGACTCCTTATTAACCTCTTCACAAAGAAAGATGACTAATGAGCCTGTCTTACGTGTTTACAGCACGTTGCAGAACTGTAAAATGACCATGTTGCTCCAGTCAACAATTTTCTTTATTGTCAACAAGTTCAAGAACAGCATTTCTTCACATTAATTACATGAGAATACAACAGATAGGCACTGGTGCGCCCCCAAATGTTCAAATCATGTATCAGTTTTCTTTCGTTTGAATCAAACATAAATCATGTACCGAAACATATTAAAATGGCTTTTAACCAAAAATACAAATGAATTATTATGAATTGTTAATTATATGCAAATATGTAAACCTTATGAAATGGCGCTTATATGAAAGTCCGACTATTGCTCATCTCCCGCCCGTCCTGAGAAAGCACAGGCTCCACCCTCCAAACGTGACGTAGGCTCTGAGTGAGCCGCCCTTCCTCCGCCCATCTCAGGGAGGGAGGGGGAGACAGACGTGCACCCTGATAGTGGCAGGAATAAACTTTTATTCATCATGGAGATACAGCGCGTTCAGCCGCATGTGTTGGACCCATAATTGTACGAGGACTTGGAGGAGCACGAAGTATTAATAAACACTATTAGATAAACTTATATCATGTACACTGCAGTGTAGAACAGTTAGCTTATGCTGTCGCTTTTGTTTAGGTGTTCATGTGGGAATTGTCAGCCGATGCGGGGTGGAGGCAGTGGAGCGGGGGAGGGAGGCTGGTACGAAGCACTATCTGCTACGTCAAATGCATCATAGGTGTAGCTGGACGCATCATTGTTGTAGCAGCTTTAGTTCCTTGTCAAGTGGGAGGGTGGCAGAAATACGCTGCAGTTTGTTAAAAAAAAAAACTGAATCAATCTAAAAACCACTTCGGCGACATATACAAGGCCCACACATCACTCTTAGAAGGTAGAAAGCTCTGAAAAGTAGATTTTACTTGACATGGGCCCTTTAAATTCAATAAGAATTCAAGTTGGAAGTTGGAGAATATGCATAAAAATCATGATATGGTCAAATACCCACTTGCCTAATAATTGTGCACAGTGTGTGTAACTTTTTGGTTGGGGGTCCGTCTCCTTTGTGTTTCTATGGATGTGTCACTGCAATGCCTGGAATGTTACAGTATGACATTAAACAGCTCTACTTTACAGGGGCAAACTGATGGAAGCGATGCTGCCAATCTGCGCCATCGACCCCTTCGACCACCAACAGTCACCCACACTCCACTTTCTTATTAGGAAATGCCTAAGGACACAGTGACAATTTTTTGCCACTGGTGCTCCACTGTGGCACCTGGAATTCCCAATAGTCTCTCATCCAGTGTCACTGAAGCAAAGCACATCTCCACTCACCACTCTTGGCTACGTCTCCACATCCACACGTTCCTTTCAACGGACGTCGCTGCCGCTGTCCTACAAAATGCCACGGCCAAAAACCTCGTCCTCCTTCTCAGTCTCCTCCTTAAAACAAGTAAGTTGTTCTGGCTCTGGTACGAGAGGAACTTTAAAATCTCCAGGTGCTCAATGCTCGCCTCCATGTTTGGACAACTTCCATAAACACAGAGCACGCTCACTGCAGTTGACGTCGTCGTGTCTCCCAGTGCGCATGCGGGACACTTTCGGGCCGTTTACTGTTCACACTGGAGATCACACACAAGTCGCATTTAATTGGAAATGTGAACGACCTCGCAAAAACATTGGATTTCACAAAAAAATCGGAATTGAGCATTAAGCCCTGCTGTCTGAACGTAGCCTTAGAGGACAGGCTGTTGGCTTCCTACCAGACCAGAAATTTTCTCATAGGACGGTTCTTAGCTCGCCATCGGGTTTGACCCAGTTTTTGGGCTCCGGACCTGTGTGCACATTAAAAGGCCTCTTAGAACATGGCTACGCTGCTTACTGCCCCTAGATAGTTAATAAAAAAATTTGCATTAGCATTATATCACAACACGTTTAACAAATGACATGACAGAAAAACCTAAAAACAAGACAGGCTACCGGTTACCATAGCAACAGGGTCTGAGTCAGCTGACCGGGGAAGGACAGGTTTATAACATTTCAGAAAAAAATAAAAACAAACTATTAAATAGCCTATCCCATAAAACAAGTGGGATTTAGTAAAGAAAAGCTTCATTCTGTCGTTTTCAACTTATTTATAAATAAAGGACTGAGATTCAAAAGTGAAATCAAAGTCAATTTATTTATCTGAAATTTCAATAAATCACAAATCTGGTCACAGGCATCAAAAAAGGACACCGGGGGGAAAAAGAGCTGTATTTTGTAACCAGGGATTTCTGTTTGTTCAGTGTTTGAATGTTGTGAATCCGGAGGTCTGGGTCTTGTATTCCTTCTCCAGCAGATGGCGCCACTGCTCTGGGTGAGGCAGGGTACTTGGTTCTTAGGTTTTCCTCTGTAAAACTCAGTCAAAGGTCAAACGTTCAAAAGCACAGGACAGTCGTCAGATTTCTCCACATTTCATAATTTAGTTTGAGAAACGATTTTTTTTTTCTTTCTAAATTCTACACACATTACACATTTGATTCAACATTACAATATTTACAGTTTTACAGAATAGTTTACAGATGTACTTTTTATTCTAGTAGCAGGAGACATTTTGGTAATCACAGACCAAATCAAAACTATAAATATAACTTTAAAGCTACAAGATAAAAGACAGATTTAAGTTGGTACAGTCGATATATTA